AAAGCTGGGGAATCTTGAAAAAGTGAACAAGAAAATCGAAACCGGGACTGTATACTTGACAGCTTTAGTTTTTAAAGACAAATGAATTAATATCAGCAAAGGATAACTAAAAATGCAAGTATTTGTCGTAAGAATTAGATAAACTGGAAGCTTGTTGTCGCTTTTAAAAGATGTTTTGATTAGGATAGGTATCATGGAAGTCTTTTGTGCAATTGTGTAAGACTAGGCAAAGAATTTGTAAAAATAACGATTGATAAGGAAACTACAACTCACTCATAGCAGCAACATTCAGAATGACGACTGCTGAAATGCACAGAAGCTTCGACAAAAAAAACCATAAAAAGGATATAATTTAGACTACAAAGAAAAATTATTATAGGATAGAAGCTACGACAACAGACGAAAGGTTTCGGTGATATCGCAATACTGTGCATGACACTAACATACAATCTCTGAACTGTATGACTACTGTGTAAGAGGCGGGACATGCAAGAATATAAAGAGAGGGGGCTTGGCTAGGGAATCTTCGAGCCAAATGTTCTCATGTTTAAAATTTACTAAAGAGGTTTTATTTTGTGCGCAACTTCTTTTGCTTCTGAATTTTCTTCAAATATGAATTTTTATTTCGTCCTTTTTTTTAAGGATGGGCGGCCGGCCGGCGGCGGGGGAGAAGGAATGCAAGCAGAAGGGAAGTATTTGATTAGATAAAGAAACAAATTGCCTGCCTACTTTTGTTCCTCATTGGTGAATGTCCAGTTATCGTTCCGGCCACATTTCACAGAATGCCGTCAGTTCTGAGTACATTACTCATTCATTTGAGGGGGAAGCACTTTGCCGAAATCCAGGAGTTCCTCATCTTCTAGATGTTAAGAGGCATATTACGCCCTCTTGGAAAAACATTTCAACACGGGCTTCCACTGCCAGCTGCAAGGCAATAGCTGATATTATTACACGACTCGGGCAGTCAGAGGGCCAATAACTAAAATCAACCAATCAAAATGCTCTATTGCCGGTCAACATTCTCTCAGTATTGGACAGGGCACTGTCCCGAATGGTCCCGAATGATACCGCACTTATGTCCATTTGAACTTCAGTCGTATAATAAATCTCTTATTAACCAAGCTTGCTCGGGACCGTACTGGAAGAATATCGGCCCTCGGTCTTTTTTGTACGGACCGAGCTGCGCTCGGTCCGTACTGTCAAGACTTCGGGCCGATATTCTCCTAGTACGGCCCTCGCGCTTGGTTAATAAGATATATATAGTATTCCACAGCCCCTGACGTTCACGGTTAGCAAGATGGTGCTTTGTGCTCAAATAATTCTGTATACGTAATCAACGGGTCAGGTATTTCCCAGTTAGCATCTACGAGCAAGTTTTCAGTGGTAATTAAGTGTAGTCAAGTCCAGAGGAAAAAAAAAGTTCCTCCTCAATCAGAAGATGGACAAGTTTTGCGCCTTTTGGATCATAGCTTTGCTCTGGTTTATAACCAAGGACATTTTCCCCTTTCCAAAGTTTTATGATAGAAAAACCAAAGCACTCAAACGCTCAAGTGTAAACAAAGCTGTTCCTAAAATAAACTCGCTGTAGGCATTTGTTTTGCCAATAAGTCTTTAACAAGGCCAAGGTATCACTTGTAGACTTGACAGCAATTTAATTTGAAGTGGAAGTCCCGACCGAGCGTTGACAGAGAGGAGATAAAATGGTTTTAAAAAATTGAGTTTCTGTGTAGGAATCTGAACCTGGGAATGTGGTAAATCCTTTTGCTGCTTTAAGGTCGCTAAGGAGTTCACGCCACACGGTGACTACAACATTTACAAAGTTTATCAACTTTAGTAAGATAAAGCTTTTTTCTCCATGTCTTCAGGTCTTAACTTGTTTTTTTGGTTTTTGTTTTTTTTTTTTTTTTTAATTTGTCTTTTGAAGTAATTATCTTTTATTTGATTGACAAAAAAAGAATTCGGCAAAAGAAGTCCTGTGAAGATTTGGAGTAACCTTAAGAAAAGGATTTGGCACACTTAGATGAAATTAGCGTTAACCCGAAAAAGCCACCAAACCAAGTAGCCTAGGCGAGTTGGCAATTCATTTCCGCCAATAATAGGATACTTGTCATTCATCTGAGAAGGAAACGAAACTAGGGTGCAGTGCTATCTTTGCCTCTCGGCAAAACAAAACAAAACAAACTCATAATCATCTGTTTAATGGTCCCATAAGCTTTCCTTCTGCAACTGATCCGTGCAAGTAATTTCAGAAGTGTTTCGTTCGTTTCAGCCTTTGAGAGGCAAAGCGTTCAGCTTGAGGCGAATAACGTTTGCATCTCCGGCGATGTTTAAATTTAATATCACATCGAATTATCCGCGTGCATGCTCTCCTAAAATTAACTTATCTCTTATTCTACTCATGAAAACAAACATTGAATCAATCGCGTAACGATGTCTAGCAATGAAGCACCCACAGGATTATTAAGCCAGATATCCAGCGTCGTGTAAACAAGGTCAATCTCTTGATTTTTTTTATTTTCTCGACAGATCGCGTGATTTTACCCGTTTTCCGTTGCATGACTCCTTTTGTCGGCGAGTTCAATATTGTACGAGTGTTTGATAACCATCCTTCCTTCTGTTGAAGAGAAGCTAAGAAGGTAAGAGCAACAACTAAATCAGTTCATTTTAGCTATAGCTTCCTACGAAGTACATCTACCTAAAGGAATCTTTTCTGCAAATCCCCAAGTTAACTGGGGCCATAGAGAGCTAAACATTTGATTTTCTAGCACCCATCAAGGAATGAAGTACAATGAACACTGTGAAATGCGTACAGAGAAAAACCGACAGAGAATGAAACAAAGAAAAGCAGAAGGTCAAGATGGACAAACTTATCGCTTAATTGTTTTTTTTAATTTTTTTTTTTTTTTTTTTGTTACCTTAAGTGTAATGTGAAGGAGGGGGGAATGTTATGTATGGCAATACCGCTGGCCATTATTCACAGTTATGTAATTGTTGAGTTATTGTTTGTTAACCAATCACATTAAACCACGCGGTTCGGATTGGAGATCCAACTTGGCGTCTGTGTCATGAATATGTAACTATGGTCTTGGGTTTGGTGTAAATCGAACATGTAACATGTTTTGGGAAGTTTTCAAAAGCGACTCCATTACAAAACTGAAGACAAAAACACCCGTATTTTGTTGATCATTCCTAGATATATATGATGTACGATCCTCGCAGTAGATAGCGCTATTTAAGCAATAGCGAAAATCAGACTTGAAAAAAATCAGGCCTGTACAGGATTCGAACCACTGACCTCTGCGATACTAGTGCAGCGCTCTACCGAGTGAGCTAACAAGCCAACTTGGAGGAGGCCGTTAAGTTGATTCCTAATAAACCCGTGAAAGTGATAATCAGATACAAGATATCTGATTATCACTTTCACGGGTTTATTACGAATCAACTTAACGGCCTGCTCCCAGTTGGCTTGTTAGCTCACTTGGTCATAAAGACTCTCAATCTTTTGAATGGCAGTCATTGGAAAGTTTCGAGATGGA